ATCGTCTTTGTAGTTCTCCTCTCGGTTCCTTTCAGCCTCTCTCCTGGAGGCAGCTTCCCTCTGTTTCTCCAGCGCTCGCTGCAGCTCGCTCTTCTGATTCAGCACGTTTTTACCGCTGGAAGAAAGCGAAAACAGTTAGCTAATTACCAACCGAGCAGGCAGGGATCGCGCGCGAAAATCACGAGGCCGAGAAAAACAGGCGCGAACGACCTTTTCCCGTGGAACCTCGGTTTGACCGTAAAAGTAACCGGGGAATGAGTCACGGGGATGGAGAACGCGTGCGTGTGTAGCTCTACAGAGCGCATACTCTGGCAGGAAACGATTTTCTCGATGATAGGCGTGCGAAGTGTGCGCCATCGAAAGCCACGCGTCTCATTCCCGTTACCTCCGACACCTTCTGCGGCTCGCGCAGTATCAGAGGACGCCGACAACTTTCCATCGGGCTGGTTTCCAGCATATTTCGGATCTTTCGCGCATATTTATCCGCAGTGGGTTTATAAATAGACCAGACATCGAGAGAGTGACTCGAAATTGCATTCGCATTTGGCATCTTCCGCAGATCAGCTTTCAACGAAGCTTACACTTTCTGATTGAACAACAGCTCTCTGCGAAGGTCCTTGTGATTGCTGGAGGTGAGGTACGGGTTGATGGGCTTCCTCGGGAGGATCAGGCCGTCTGGTCCCATGTGAGGAGCAGGTGGCGGAGGAGGTGGTACACCCAACACCGGCGCCATCTTCTTCCCTGGAAAGGTCAAACACGAGATCAGAGCACGAACACCTGTTCCATGTCGAATTCAAAATTGTCGAAAAATCCACGAAAAAGTCACAGAAACAAACTATTCCAAGGATCGTCGTTCGATTTGCAGGTATTAGATCGAGAGAGTTGGCACGCGGTAGTAAAGCGTTTACGGGCTCAACTTTCGCGGTTGTCGAAATGGAAAATGGTGGGACGGTAAAAGCGAAAGCGATGGCCGGATAACGCTGATTCTAGGAAATTCGGATTATCGAGTAATCGCAGAGATAACGGTGAAACGATGGGAGAAAAAGGGTGGACGTTTCGCGAAAAGAAAAGTAGAGGAGAGGAGACACCGTTGAGTCGGAGAGGAAGCAAGTATGTCTTTATTCACCCTCCAACAAGGCGATTCTCTCCCTTACGGAACCCTGCTCGCACATCGCGTCGGATAGCACTGAAGCATTTCCGGGCGAGAACCGTATCAAACAGGCAACTTCTATATACTTTTGCGTAGGGCTTCGCATAGCTGCTAATCGGATAGACGAGTACGCGGCGCCGACCGCCACGTACCTGCCTTTTATGCCTCCAAGGTGAGGTAAACAATGCGCTTTTTATCGCATTAAATCGAATCCTCGAGTTGAACGGACCTGGTACCGCGCCAGAGTACTCGCTACCGCGCCACGCTTCGCGTAGAAATTCCCGTAGAAAGCGTCGTCGTTCCAATTCCTCACGATGCCACCTCTAACACAAGTATTTCCCGAACATCCAGCCAATTTCGAGGTGAGAAATCTAGCCACACAGGGCACTCGTACTCGCGCCCTTCCGGTGAACCAAATCGGTGAGACGTATCAAAGTTCTAGGACATGTCATGATCCTAACTTGTGATGGACGCTGCAACGCAACTTTCTTCCGGTACTGTTACTCGTGGAATTGCTCAAGCTCGCTTAATCGTCGCGAATATTCGCCTTCTCACCGTGATCCAACCGCTTTTCACGGGAACCTGCCTATCGTTTACTCTGCCATTCATAGCCTCGTGGCATCAATCGGCTCGTCTGCCGGTTCGTTAATCGCCGATAGCAGCTTCGAAGCCGGTACCGGAAGTGCTTGGAGAACGGTACGCGTTTCGTAACGAAGCGAGTGACACTTTGCCAACGTGTTAGAGACGTTTCGGAATTCTCGACTCGAAATTCTCGTTTCCTCCTGCGATGAGAATCGCGAGGAAAGAATGGCGTCGCCTCGTCGCGCGATTAATCCCTCTTCCCAATTTTTCTCCTTCGATCGTCGCGCGGGAACTCAACGGAGGATCTCGCGTGACCTATCAACGCTGAAGAACCCTGACTAATTCAAGATCCAGGAAAGAGGACGCTGCGAAAGTGAGTCGCGGTTTTGTCGCGATTGTCGAAGCTAGAAAATCATACAGAGAAATTGGAAATGTAAAGAAAAATTCTTCAACCGTCCGAAGTACACCCAATTCTGTTTTTACACGAACTTCTTTTACGCGATTTTGATTTAACGCGAATTAGGGAAAAAATTTAATTCTCTTTTTACACGACTTACTTTGATTTAACACGATCGACCGAAATTTTTGGCCTAGCCAAAACGCAAACACGACGATTAATTACCGAATTCGTTGTTAAATATACTGAACCATCGGCACCACAGGAGGCTAGTCCTAATTTTGTTCAAGAGATTACAGGAAGAATTTCACCAATGGAGCACGAAGACGATAACCAAGACGTTTCTAGTGATAACAGTAATATTGCAGTTTTACGCAAACGTATGCGTTTATTGTGAGAAAGTGACAAGGGATAAAATCTTTTTACGTGTAACTCGTATTATCTTGCCTAATTTTTGTGTTCATGAATTAGTGACATGTTTCTTTTCCTTTTCGAATGATAATTTACTTTGTACGATACATGTGCAATCTTTACGAAATAAAATGTTTAAGATGCAACACGAAAACTCATGGTTTATTGTAT